AAAGCTTCCTCTGCTGACGGCAATACAAAAAACCAGAGCTAGTCTATGAAATCTGTCAAAGACAAATTTAAGATGTGTCACCACGCAAGAGGAGGGTGGATTATTGAGCAGCAAGAAGTGGATGATGTCAAGAACTGGGGAAGCAGCAGTGGGATATTATCCGCTACTATGTATTTTGAGGACATGCACCTGAGAACTAATGCAGGAACTGCAGATGAGGCCTCACGGTACAGCAGATGGAAGCGAGGGAGGTGGAGAAGAGCCCTTTCCTTCCCTTCCACGACAGTAAATAACCAGCAGTGCTTTTCCTTGTTACAACTTCCAACGGGCAAAGCCACTAACTACCCAGCATCTTGCACAGGTTTAGCTCACAAGGAAACAGGGCTAGCAAATACCAGAAGAAAAATAAAAGGGACCACAGTCCAGAAAAACAAAAGGGTTTCAAGTTTTAGTGCCAAAATGTATTAATCATTTTTACAGACAAAACAGCTTCCATGAAGGCACTAGAGAAAAGGACTCACTGGAGTCATTACTAGGCTCAGTCAAGATCAGACCCTATAAAAAGCATGGGAGCATTTGTGTTATAGTGACTAAGAAGTAATTTATAAATGCTCTTCCTTTTTTAAAATGCACCCTCCTATTTGAATGTCACAAACTACTTCAGGCGATTACTGAGAAGGGACTTGATCCTGTAAACCTGTTAGCTGGTAACACCTCTCCTTTTGTGCCTGTGACTTCAGTGGAACAATTCAAATGTTTAAAGCTTCTCTCTGAGGTTGGACTTGCTTATGGACAGGAGCAACACCCAAATCGTGATTTCTTGAATTTCACCCAAGGCTGATGTTTTCAAATTAGGAGCCTACAGTTAGATTTCTAAGCCCACCTTTACACCACAGCATGAAATTTTCCGAAGAGCCTCAAGCCTGTATGACATGGCCTCTGATCTCAAGTGCCCAAGCCACAAGCAGACGAGTACAAAATGCAGCGGCTTGCTGGCAAACTCTGAAGCCTAACATTCCCTGCCAGCCCATCAAATGCAAGTTCCTCCTGGGACACCAGAGAAGCTGGCAGTACTGGAGTGGCCGAGGAAAAGGAAAAGGATAGCTGGTGCCCGATTCAATGAAAAAAATCTCAAGTAAGTGAGCAGGAAACTCACCACCTCCATTTTTCCTCCACAAAGCATTTCAGTTTTCCTGACTTGCAACAGTAGAATAACTGGTATGATCTGAAAATGCAGCTTGGGCTACTACTCCTTCGTCTTGCATTTGAGATCTTCTGTTTTGAGTAGAAAGGTGGGATCCAGTCTACTTAAGCTTCCACAGGGAACTTGCACTTACATTTTGTGAACCAAGTCTTTTAAAGTGCTTAAATCCACAGCAGATGGTGCCTCTGAGGAATGTCACTGAAGTTCAGGCCCTAGAGGACAACAGCAACACTTTGCAGTGAAAGATGCTCGTAGAAGCACGTGAAACTCTCCACTTCATGGGAATTTTACAAACTGCCCTCTTCTGTGTGCCACAAACGCTGTGGCTACGGTGTAACTGTTAGGTTATTTTAAGGTTCTATGACATCATTAGAAAATACCAACCCATCTGGTGTAAAGTGAAAATTAGGAACATGAGATATGCTTTAAGGGGCATCAGGCTGGGCGGTCTTTCTAATTCAGTACCTGCCTCTAAGAGCGGCCACGGGAAGGGGCAGGGAGGGGGGCAGAGGAGCCTTTCCGCAGCCCTGCCCTCACTCCAGCAGCTCCAGTCCCTGTCAGGGAGCACTCAAGGGTAGCTCCTGCCCAGCCCCTTTACACATTTGTGGACCTGTCGGCCCCGCGTTTGTTCATCTCAGTTAACATGAGATTGTTTGTGAGCCTGCTGACACGGCCTCTCTGTGACCACTGTGGCAGCAGGCTCCTGAAGCTCACTGCCTGCTGCGTAGGGAAGTGCTTCTTTTAAAGCCATCCCCTGCAAGTTTAACTGAGTGTCCCCCAGCTCTCATATGGTGGGGGCTGGCAAACAACAGCTCTGTTTTTAGCTTATCTACGGACTTCCCAGTTTTGTAAACCTTTATTATTCCTCCAGCAACCTTCTCCCCTCCACGCTAAAAACGCCCAGGCATTTTAGACTCGCCAAAATGGTCATTGCTGTATCTCCTTAATAATCACCGTTGCCCTTCTTCGCACTGTTTAATGCCATTACATCCTCCTTAAGGCAACAAAGGCATGCAGAGGTCCCTGCCATACCAGAAATATCCACGCACAGAACAGGCAGCTCTCATGCAAGGGGTGGTGAATCACTGGATTGTCTCCTGCCTCTTGACCCAACCTCCTACAGCACAGCACCGCTGCCTCAGCCCCCCCGGCACCCCACGTGCCCGATGCAGCTGGTGGGCTGGCCGGCGCTGGTCCTGCCAACAAGCTGTGTGCTCAGGCAAGTGGAGTCACAGGCAAGAAGGAAGCCGCAGACTGTT